AAAAACCACCAAAAACCAAATGAAAATTGCTGTGGTTTTGGGGGAGAGGTTTGTTTTGTTTTTTTCCCAAAAAATAGTTTTAGCACTTTTTTACTAATAATTGGTAAATGTACTTACCATTTTTTTTTCTTTTTTTGCTAGCTTGCACAGGCATCTTGTTGAGCACTTAAATGCAGAAATAGTGCTGCATACTGTCACAGATGTCACTGTAGCTTTGGAATGGATACGATCAACGTTCTTGTACATTAGAGCCTTAAAAAATCCAGCTCATTATGGTTTGTTTTTTTCTTAATTGATCTGAATTACGACACTAGGATGTCTTGTATCCATATTATTTGTTTCTTTTGTTTTCTTATGGACTATTATTTCATAAGGGGTTGAAAACAAGATGTGTAATATGGCCTGTAACATTTTTAGGAACAACAGTTTCAGTTGCTTTAATATAAGTAAAAGGAGTTTCAGCATGGTATAACATTTAAAATCTTTAATATAAGTAATAGGAGTTTCAGCATGGTATAACATTTAAAAACTGTGAAGACGACATTTACAGCTTCATAATGATCAATTTCTTTTGATCTTAATATATTGGACCATGTATTAATGTAGTATCAAGCCATAAGGTACTTTCCAGCGCTGAATATGTAATCTGCTGCTAAGAAAAAAATGTGTCTAATATTTCATAGTTTTTCTAAAACAAAGTTTCAATAATCTTAATGCTGGTGTCTTCAATTTGTCTTGTCCGGAACAGTCTCTCAGTCCCCAGCCCTGACCATATCTTTGTTCCTGTCCACTTGCTCTACATCCGATTATGAAGTCATTGGGTGCTTGCTGGAGACAATTTTTTTTTAAGGATTTATAGATGGGACTGGAACATAGTACATCTAGTACTAGGGTGTTAAAATTTAGGTGGCTTCCTGTATTCTAAAATATGAAAACTCTACATGTGAAGTTGCTCACTGACATTTCTGCAACTTTTAGGACCCTGATGTTTTACATAGGGGAATATCTGCAGCTTTTGCCTTTGCCCATCTGTTCTAACCGCCAATTATTGATACTTAGATACTTATACTATGTAAGGCTTTTGACTTGTTCCCAGTGTAATAAATATGTAGAAATTTTTCACTTTGGGGTATTTGGCTCCCAAAAATCAGCAAATCAGTTTTGATGGGTAATGATATTGAGGAGGTATCATTGTATTAGATTAAAAAGCCATTTGTCTTTTCATGAAGGTTTTTCATCTGCATTGCATAAAATTGGAATTGAAGCAAAATTACAAGGTAAGTGGCTTTTAAGCTTTTTTCAGTAAAATGTTACATTTTAGGGCAGGTTCATCCACGTTTATTATATATCTCCATTGATTTCAATAGATCATTCACAGAACAAATGTAATTTACTATGTTGTGCTATTGATTTTATTTAATTATTAGTATTTTTGAAACACTATCAGTACATTTTGACTGGTGGAAAAGTTTTTCTTGTATAGAGGAAAAAAATTAAATGCCTTTACCTACCTCATCTCCATATACATTCTCAGAAATAGAACTACACGCAGAGCACTTTAATTTTGATTGCTTGTCATTCTTCCTAATTTTCCTTTGATTGATCTCATTTGCTTTCACTTTCAAGAAAGCCCTTTTCAGAAATTGTCATCTTCCCTTCATCATAAATTTAGCCTTGAAAACAAAGGATGTAAAATGTAAACTTCTTCACCTTCAGAAACAGTTTCAAATTGCATGATTATAGCATGTTAGGCAGCAATAATAAAGAGCAGGTGGAGAGAGAGAACACATTATTTTTTTATGATCGATATTTTTACATTGGTCATTCAAAAATGCATAAATAACGTGAAAAAGAAATTTTAGAGAACTCCAGAGTGAGGCAGATCTTGTCCAGTGATGGACTCAGTGGATTGGAGGATAGGAGCAAATCTTAAATTCTGTGTTTTTGTACAGGTAAGTCACAATACTCATGTTGTATAGGTTTGCTATTCAGACATCTGGACTGGTATGATCTGAGAATTCCACTCTCTGACCATGACATTTTGCATTGGAGATGTACATTCTAGTGTATTGTTTGCTTGTTACCTGAAATTTGGCCCTTATGGATTGAATTATTCATTTTGCTTAGGGTGTCAAGGGAAGACTTGCAGTCTTTCAAAGATCTCTGCATTAAGCATTCCATACAATATCAGTCATATCTCAGGTATATGGATTCAGTAGATCCTCTTAAAAATTATTTTGCTATTGTAATTCCAAATTTAGTTTTAAAATTTGCATATGAATAGCAGATGCATAATACAATACCAAAGAACTAAGAGAATGCAAATACATAATTAAGAAATTGCACTTGCTCTTCAAGTGAGCAGTAATGTGAGAATGAGGCAAACAACTTTACAGATATAAAAAAAAAATTAAAAAATTAGCAGCACCATCTTTTTCCTGTAATACTGTAAAAATGACTGGAAGACTACTTTTAAGAGGCTTTTTTTGCTGAGACTTGAATAAAACCCGATTATTGTGTGGTGTGGGTTTTTTTGTTGGGTTTTTTTGTTTTTTAAATACTGCTTTTTAGTTATTTACAATTCCATCAGAAAACATACAGCTGACTAAATAGTTTGGGTATCAGTACCTCTCATCTTTAAATATGAAAATAGCATACAACTCTTTTTTTTTCTTTTTTTCTTTTTTTTTTAATTTATTTAAAAGTAAGTTTTCTAGTAGATCCAAAATAAGTATATCAATAAAAGACCACTTGCTAAGATTGTAAGTGGAGTTCTGCAAATCTACAAATGCAGTTTTTTCTCTTCAGTGAAAGTCCTCATGGCCATCATAATTCTGTATAATTGTATACTAGACCAATTGGAACTTAAATATCTGGAGGGGGGCCTGGTACATGAAAACATAGACTGATATATGCCCTGAATTTTGTAGAGCTAGTACTTGAACTCCACTTAAACATTTATTAAATTTTACACAGTTGTGTAGAATAATTTGTGATTGATGTTGAGCTCGGTGGATCTATGCCGAGGCTGTTTATTGTGTAAGGGTTTCAAGGACCCATCTCCAGGAATACACTTAGTATATACCGCTTGAAGTCTCCAAATATGGGAGACATCGACTGTGACTTGCAGATAGGAAGAACAGGAGTACTTATCAGTAAGAAAAGTTACCTAGTTCATATGCTCTTTCAGTTGTTTTCTACTTTTTCCTGTCTTTTAGATCAGGACATTTCTGGTTTTGGAATGTATGGAGGGAATGAAGCATGTTGTTACCTAAATAAGCCTTTATGGGAGAAGGCATGGTTTGAAATCACCTCTAGATAGTGCTAGGGTAGAAGGCTTCACTTACAGATGCTTTTTAGGGATGGATTATATTTCCTTGAAGTGCTCTGATCTTAAAAAACAATCTCTTTTTAAAGTTCCTGCAGAAACTAGCTCCTTTTCCCTGCACACATGAAATGTTTTGTAGTAATGTTTATAGTTATAGTTAGTTAGTTTTCATACATTTCACGTGCAATGTGAATGACTTCTGGTTGCTATGGGAACTATCGCTTTGAGTGCTTTCCCAACTTACTTCTAAATTCTGAACATTGTATTAATGTAATTTTTGCCTTTTAATTACCTTGGTTTTGAAAGAGAGAAAACCAAAACTCTTCGGTCATCCTCATGCAGATACCTGACTAAATAAGTTTAGTGAAGTAAATACAAATGCATCTCATACAGTATGAAAATTTATGATGAAGGATTCATAAATACCTGTGGATATTTGAAATTTCAACCATTTAAGTGTTAACACTCTAGCGGCAATCTTTTGTGTAACTGCTGTGGGCTCTCCAGTCTGTCGTGCAGAATTGAATATGGCAGCCTACATTCTGTGCATCTAGTTTATTTTACTTTGCTATTTTTGCTTTACTGAAAAAGAGTTGGGTTGTCCTGTATCAAATATCTTTGAGTGAGCTTTCCCCAGGCAGAAGTTACCCGCCGACTTTAGTAGAAGCAGGATCATATTCTAAAACCTTTACTTGAGTTCAGTGGAATTACTTTGGTATACATTCATTGCAGTTTGATGATGTTTCTGGTTTGTACATAGATAAGTTTTTCTGCATGTACTAAAAATACATATATTTTCAAATTGTCAACAGAACTGTGTTTGAAGAACTTAAATGATTTATCATCTTTTGATTTGATCAGGATGGATGAAGCAAATAATTTCAAACCAACAGGTAACACTTTTTAAAAATAAACTAATTTGCAGAAGTGATGTTGAGTTAGTAGTGAACTACAAAGGGTCACAATTATTGTTGTGACCCATTAATAGGAGTACACAAATGTAGTAGAGAATAGAATCTGAGAGATTGTTTGACTAGAATATATGAGCAGGTTTCTTTAACAAATCGTGGAAGTTCATTCTCTTAATGCTGATCCATGAATAGATCTTCTCTTGTTGTTGCTGGAAATTTCGTTGCAGATTAGGAGAAAATTGTAGGACATTATCACAGGATAATTGAATGTGACACAGTGCAATGAAGGACAGGTTTTATCAATACCTGCTTTTCTCTACAGTCCTCTGCTAGAGGTGGTTGGCTTCTCAGCATCCACAGTTTGCAGTCTGGTATATTAGTGTGAATTCATCTCCGTTGGAGAAAACTGTGACTGGCGCATATTTCTTTCTGCCACTCTATGATGGGGTCAGTAATATCCATCAGACAGCTGGGGGCAATAACATACTGAGTCAGTGGTGGTAAATCTCATGGAGCCCTGTAATAAGAAAATTAATTCAATTTTGTGACTTAAAAAAAATACACTAAAAAAATACTTGGCATTTTTTTTTTAAGGTATATTCTTCTTTTACAGAGACTGGAAGATTGATGGCATGGTATTATATTGCATTTGATACAGTGAAACAATTTTTCACAATTAAGGGAACAGAGACTTTAAATGAATTGGTAATTCAACTTTTTAAAGAAAATTTACATATGTTCAATTGATTTTAAACAAAATTAAAGATAAGAAGCAGAAGTTTTTATTTCTTTTAAAGAGCTCAGGCTTTGTTTATATAAAGTATAAAGTTTTAGAGAATACATCTAAATAAATTCCATATGGAGTATTTTCGAGGCTTTGTACTCTGAGATCTTTCGATTTCCAACTCTTTCTCCCCTCACTAACCTTGCTTATGAAGATATAAAGTTGCTGAAGCTGTTCTGTTTATGTATTAAACATTGTATTGTATTGTAACAAATTGTTTTGTAGCAAAACCGAGATGCAGGCAGAGCGGATTTTACTTTTAAAGGAATGTTACTGTCTTTTTGTTTTAAGTCATTTTCCTCTGTCAGATAACAGGTTGTTATTGCTACTGTTAAGTCACAAAAGACATTTTGTTTTCAAGCAAATACTATGGTAGAACAGATTGGCCATGAAAAAATGGAATGCCTGTTCTCCTATGACTATCTTTGTTACTAAAGTATGAAGAAAGTAAAGTGAAATACATAACAGATAGCAAAAACTATTTATATTTGCCTTGTATGTCATAAAGTGTTAGCAGTGTGGTTGATTTTGGATAATTTCAAGTGGAATAGTAATCTAAAAACTGAAAGAAAAATCCTCCCCTTTTGCTATATAATAGCCTTTATAGGAAGATGAAAGAAAATTGGTCAGTATTAGAAAGAACTGATTGACCATCTCTTCATAGTCGTAGTGTTGAGACAATAACATTTTTTTAAAGCTTTTTTTTTTAAATGTTGGAAGAAGTTGAAAAAATGGCAAAGAAAAACAATAGAAAAGTTACTTTGAATAAAGACAAGGAAAAATTAACTATCAGGTATAAAAAAATAAATACATTGAAAAAGAAAAGTATCTGTTTAGCAATAAATAAATGAATAGCAGAAAATATGTGTATTTTCATGCATAGGTTTCCAATGGAGGGGAAGATAAAAACAAGAGAAATGAAAATAAACTGGTAAATATTATATTGTGGTGTTACTTTTTATTGCAAAGCTATCATTTTATGGCTGTTGAAGTCCCTGCTAAAATTTATATCGTTTTATAGAGGACCAGATCTTGCATTTCATTGTTTCTGGTCTGAATTTTCTTTTGTTTTCCAGTAGAAACTTTTATGTTGTTATACTTTGCTTACAGCGTGGCTTATATACCAAAAACTATTTTTTTTCCAGTCTTATTCAGGCTCAGCTAGGATGCATTCCTATTCAAGACTTTACTTTGACACAAGATACTGGCAGAATATTTAGAAGTGGCGTAAGAGTTACTAGATGTATGGTAAAATTTAATCCTTTTTTGGTACATACAATAATAAGCTAGATTTTATTTGAGTAATACAAGTCAATCTTATTTTCACAGGGTTGTCTGATTTTCTGGCATCATGTAAGAACAACTTTTCTGCTTTATTAAACTCTCTGATTTTAGCAAAGTGTTTCAGGTGCAAACTTTGGGAAAATTCACTTCATGTGTCTAAACAATTGGAAAAAATTGGTAGGTACTAGTCAGAAATTATAAAGCTGTAATCTGATACAGAATCAAAACTCACGATTAGCCTGCTAATTTCTGGGGTGTCTGGTTACATAATTAAATGAATCTCCTAATTACTCATTTGCCACAATTGAGTACCACAGTTGTCAGAATAGTCTGTCATGATAAAAGTAACGGTAATCCATTTAGTAATTTTCTTCAGGCTTTCAAAGTATTTCAGAGTTGTTCTTTTTTCTTAATGTTCATCTCAGTATCTTGGGCATATTCCACATTTGTGTGGTTGCCTATCTCTGACTAGGCTATGCCTTCCTTTCCAAACAGCTGTCACTGTAGGTCCTGTTACTCATATGCATGAAAGCCCTTTAATTTGCATTGACATGGATAGGAATCATGAAATAGAAATAAGTTTACTGTGCATGAGGTTCTTATACACGAGGATCACAAGTTTCTAATAATCTTCTTCCTATCATTGTATTCTGTTACTGGATGAACTTCTGGCTGGAAGTACAGACTTGTCATAATTATTTGAAAAGGAGTTCAGAAATTTTGGAGTCCTCTGTATTACAAAAATGTAGTTATACTTGTTTGAGGTAATAGTATAGCTTCCTGCTTTGATGTCTGGTCTTATCATACCTTCATGCTTTCAGAATTTGCTGCAGTGTTCTCTGTATTTCTTCTTTAAAGACACACCTACTCTGTACAGAAGAGTATAGTACAGAGATCTGAAAATTAGAGAATAGCTAAGCCAGAAGATCCATACGGTACAGTACGTTACAGCCTTGCCAGCTCAGGTGCAGAAGCTGTATTGCTTCGTTCATGTGGATTCAAAGCAAGGGACAGGGCTTGTTAGCTTGTGCGCAGCATGGTACAGCGTGGTGGGAACCCATTTCCACTACTTCTGGATCTGTGCCGATGTGCACACGGTCATCTGAGGAGTCTGCCTCATGTTCAGCACTTCTGGGGGGTTAGGATGAGTGGAATAAACATGGCACTTGCAGTGTAGATAAATGCTTTCCTGTATACGATATTCAATAGCATAAAGTCAGGTTTAGTTTTTTAATAATAGAAGTGCTATATATACACCTCTGTCCTGTTTTCCTTTTTTTTTTTTGGTATTTTTTCCTATGCTGTCATTGCTCTTGCAGCACATGTTACAAAGAATTGCTAACTTTCAAAGTTCCATTTGTTCCACTCACAGGCTTCTTTTGAACTGTTTGCTGACAGTTCACTCTCTATTCCTGAATCAAGTATTGAATTGATGCCTATGTTATGATGTCTGATTCTTGACCTCTGTCATGCTATGGCTGCTAAGCCTATTCTATGTCTTTGTGAAGTTAAGTGAATTGTTTTGAGCTCACAGAAATCTACCGATACCATGTAACGTTTAGAAATCCCTGATTTTTAAACTCTTAGCTCGGTGTGTTATTTTTTGAATCTTAAAAAAGCCTTAGTAATCAGTATTTCCTTTATAAGAGTGACTGTTCTTTAACTGACATTTGGCCTTACTGAGATTGAGGATTCAGTTGAATTCTTACTGCGTTTCTACAACTATCTCAATTTGTTACTCTTGTCCAATAATGATGCTCCCTCTTGTTGCTGTGTGATATGCTTGATTTCTGTTTGCTTGTTTTGACAGAGAGGATAATGATCAGTTGCCATGCAGGATTTTATCACCTTTACTACTTGTTCAGTTTGATTTCCACCTCCATTTTTTTCTTGCTCAGAAATAGATAAAGACAAAAAGTCTTATTTTTATCTCGTATTTTCTTCACTGGTGGAAACCCTTCTGCCATTTTAGGAATTATGACAAAAGAACTAGTCTTCAGCTTCACTTATAAAGAAACAAGGCAACAGCTCTAACTGAAGTAGCTGCAGAAGTAATAAGTGAGAGTTTTCAGACTGTTTGCAAAGGAGAGGGGAGATGGTAGAAGATGCGTTCCCTAAGTCAGACCCAAAAGGTGTTCAAATATACATAAAAGGATGAAAGGTCTTCCGTTTCTCTAACTCATTAAATTCTTGAGTTGAAGTGAGTCTTTTCTTGTAAGATTGCTGTAACGTCTTCGAAGAAGCAACCTAAGACTCTTGAGAGGTTTCCCACTTAATTTTCAGATCTCTTTTACTGTTTCTACAGAATTATGTATGAAGAATCCACATACTCATTCTAAGTATTTGGTACTATCTTTTATCTAAAATTATCGCGGTTATTATAGTAGGCTGTAGTTCCAGGTGAGGGAAATGCCTTTTCATATGCTATATACTCTAAATCTCACTAGAAGTTTGAAAGAACTGGAGATCACAAAGAGGAGTAAGATTGTAAGAATAAGAATTCTCTGCCAGTCTGCTTTTATGGCAGATAAAGCCATGGGAAAATTTTTTGCTAAATCTGCAAAGACTCCTAGAAGATTATAAAAAGTCTTTTTTTTTAGTGAATTTCATTATTAGCTTGCTCAAAAACATGGAGATCCTTGTGGCTTTTAACATAGTTAAATAATTCCTTGGATAGGGAAAACGTTTCTGAGACAAAAGAATGCTGTGTGATGTGCTTTTTTCATCATATATATGCAGAACACGTTTCTTGACTCTTGTAGAAAGTGATGTAAAATCTGTTTTACTCTAGAAAATGTAACTAAAAATTGTCAGTATTGAAATATTGAATGTTTTCATGTTTGATTTGTATTGCATTTCTTTTTCTCTATACTAATGAATAAGTGAAATTAAATAATACTAAAATATTTAATCAACTGAAAAGAAATTTAGTGATTTGCTGGGCAAAAAGCTGGGACAAACATACTATAAAATGATTTCCACTTTGGTTTTACCTGCTGTAATGCAGTTGTTGAAAATAATTTGAGATTAGTGATTGTCATTTAACAGCATAAAACTTAAATTTTTCACAGGTGTATCCCTGTCAAATGCTATGGTAAATGCTGGGCTGACATCATTTAAAAAAATAGAAGGCACAAATGCAAGGGAGCTTGAATTGGTAATTTATTATTTTGTATGCAGATAAATATGATAAGGAAAATACTGAGTATTAATACTGTTACCAGTAAAAGTAGTATGGTTAATATGTATCTGCTATATGATTGTCAGCAAAATTGAGTGTTTTAAGTGGTTTATTCGTTTATACCTAGTGAATTTAAAAAAAAAAAATTGTGGCTACTGCTATTTTTCCTTGAAAATGTGTACGATGTTTTGTTCTAGCAAATTTAATGCGGATGATTTCACTGATTTATCAGGCTGGTTTTGGAAAGCAGTTGCTTCGATATGTAGAATTTAATCATTACGATGGTTTCAAACAAAGGACAATATGCTTTCCCCTTTTAGGAGTGTTAGAAAAAATATGAAAGGGAGTATGGTATGTATTTACAGTTTCCCTTTATGTTAATGAAAAGAATCCTGAATTTCCATTATTGCTAGTTTTAGTTAAAGATAGTCATAGAATAAAATTCTTCTGAATCACCTATAAAGTACTTCTTATTTTAGGGAAGTTAGATTTTACCCCAGGACAAGTTCTTTGGCTCTTGGCTTCTTTTCTGAAGAAACTGTTTTTCCAGAGTTCTGGAAGATATAACGGATTTCTAAAGGAAATTGATCTTACTTTTGGGTTTTTCTGTTTTGGCTTTAGGAATTTGATTTCTCTTTTCTGTCCCTTTTGCAGTTTTCCTGTCACTTGTTTTGTTTTGACTAAAGCTAGGGCAACATAGAAGAGTCATCTCATATAAAACCTGAGTAGTCAGGTTTTGAGGTCATTGGCTAGTTCATTGGCTGTTACCTGAACAGAAGTAGTAGCAACATGAAGAAGTATTGGAATTTTCTTTTGGTTATGTTGCTGTTCTGGGCATCACTGACAGTAAAGAACCAGGAGTGATAAGGGCTTTTGTTGATAGCATAATTACTCTGGTGACTTTGATTCCTTGGATTTACATTTCTGTTGGCATCTCTGATCAGCTGAATGTATCGGAAATGAAATTAAATCTTTGCAGATTTTAAACAGACATCCTCCTTTTGGAAACCAGATAAAAGAATCTGTTTTGCACCTTCCAAAATATGAACTTGCCATTGAACAGGTAAATGCTTTTCTATTTATTTTATGTTTTTATGGTGATACTATTAAATGAAAGAGCAAACACTGACTGAAAGAAATTTTGAGTCTTCACTGATAGAAGATTACACAATATTGTGTCCTCCTGCCACCTTAGCATGTATAATCAAACTCTTAAACATCAAAGGAGCCTTGAAATAGACATTCCCTATAATACATTGGTGCCTCTCTCTCTCTCACATAGCGTTTTATGTTACAGATGCAAACCAGTATATTCCACTTTCTAGCATTATATGTGAGTCTGAGAGGTCTCTTCTATCTTGAATATAAGTAAACACCAGAGACAGAAAAACATCCATATAAAACTTACTGAAGAAGCATTAACTCATGTTTATTTTCTACGTCACACTTAGGAATATAGAGAAACAGTAAATTATTACATTAACCTAGCTGGTACCCTTTCAAAAGAAGGGTGCAATTCCATGTGCAATCAAGAGCTTTGAGGTTCTGGTATGCATCTTGGCTTTAAACAGGTTACATAGCCACTCTGCCCTTCTGAAATGCAAAATTTGAAAAATAGCCTTAAAGTGTCTCGTGAAGTTGGTACAAATGAGGACACCTTTGAAGTTAAAAAGTCAATAAATGTGTGAAATACTATTGTTATAACGATCAGTTCTATATTAGTTTTTCATCTGACATAATACCAGATCAGTCTCTCTAAAGTTATTCTCAGAAGAAAGATTTAACAATTATAAATATCTTATAGAGGAATGTTGGAATGCCAAAATATACCTAGTTTTCTTCTTGCATCTTTCTCTTTGCATTGAACAGAGGAGGATTTTTCAGGGGCTTAATGTAGACTGTCTTTTATTCTCAATACTTAATCAAATTTAGGATATTCAGCTATGGGCAAGTTAGTACTGTATTAATACTGTTTCAGAACAGCAAATAAAAATTGTACCACGAATTGAAATTGCTTGAATTGAGCTTTTGTGCTTGTATCAACAGTTAAGTTTATGGAAGGGCATATATTTTACTTTGCCTGTTTTAGCAGTTATGTCTTTTCTATATCATTTTTTCCTAGCTTCCAAAATACAGTGATACATTGGCTGAAATCTTAGTAGCCATCAAATTAACAAACTATGACCAGCTACAGACAAAGAGGACAGCGACAGACTTTCACTATGTTACATTGGTCATAGGAGATGCTGACAACCAAGTCATTTTTAATCAGAAAATTATGTATGTATGATCAGGTGGTTTTGCCTTGCGTCTTTTAAGGGTGTTTTCTTTTAATCTTTTCTGTGACTTGCAGTTTTTGCAATACTTTCCACTGATGCCAAATGGTACAAAATTATTCTTTATCCTGCAGCATTTTCTAGTCACTCTTGTCATTTAAAATGCTGCACAAGATTCAAAAACCCCCAAAACATGCCGGTGTGCTTGTCAGTACAGAGTATGAGTAAATATCTGTACAACACTGATGTCATATTATGGAAGTCATAATAATTTCCACATAAATATAACACAAGTAAAATACCTATCAAAAAGATACATTCTCAAGTTGTTACTTACTCTTATTGGCTATATTTCTTCAATTATATCATATTGTCAAAATTGTTTTTCACTCAGAGATGGAATTAAATTCTCCAGTTGGCTAAGATATGCTTGGAGCAAATGGGAAGAGAGAAGCAAAATCTTTTCCAACTGCATGACCTTCACATGAGTTCTGGCCAAACTCTGGCACTTTTGGCAGAACTGAAACTGATGTGCAGGATCCTGGCTCTCTTATGGCCATAAATCATGTATTATTGGAAGGTTATTCTTAGGCCACTTATCAAGCAAAATCCAAGAACTAAGACTAAATAAAGATGCTTTCACTTGTTTATAGATGTCCTGGTATAGAGTCTTGTTTTCATTGTCCATGTCTAACAAAACTTTACTGATACATTACAGGGATTCTGTGCTGCTGAAAACTGGAAATTGGACGAAGAAAATTGAAGTGAAAAGAGCTCTTAAATCAGAGGACATTAGTATAAATTTAATTAGTTCTGATTATGGTAGGTTGACGGGTATGCTTTTAATTTAAAAACAACTGCATAAGAATTTTGAATAAATTATTAGAACACTTTATATCAAGCCAAAAATACAATAAAATGAATGATCTGGAAACAAAATTCTATTGCATGTTTTTTACTGGGTTGAGTATTACCTAACAGTCCTAATTACTTATCTGTTTGTTTCATTTACTAGCATATTAATGAACTGGAAACATCAAAACTGATACTAGGTGATAGTATTTTGCTCTGTTGATGCAGATTAGGATTCTCTTTTGCCCTTCACCTTCAAGTTGAATTAACTTTCAGTACGGATAACCTATCAGCTTGATATGTTATTTATGCTGGGAAGAGCTGTCTCTGTGAATGGTTAGGTTTTGCACTTTGATAAAGAAATATTAGATATGGATTCCCCTCCACTTCAGTAGCAAGAAATTTCTACAGTGGAAAATTTTGTGCCTTAATGTGTGTAGATTTAAACACTGTTCCCCTCAGGGTCAATTTCCATACAATTGGAACTATAGCAGCAGATGAGGAGAGACAGTGATGACCTTGAAACAGAACTTTGAAATACAATTTAGAAATAGACTGGCTGTATTAAATTGTCATCGTGCTCCACCTGTAAAGAAGATTGCCGTGTGCTAGATTAACTGAAGTATATTCAGTGCTTCCATTATAAATATTGAATATTGAGACTATTAAAATAATTGGGCCTGGAATAATCTGTATTCCTACAGCTAAACCTGTGGCTCAGGAAAAAGGAGGGTTTTCTAACCAAACAGATGAAGAAAAAATTGTCTTTGTATTACTACTTGGCTATCTGCAAGTTGTACTGAGTTCAGTAAAACTCAACAGTTAATTTCTCTGAAATTGGTAACAGTGAAGTTAGACTAAAAGCAGGTCTTCCTAGTCTCTACTTATTTTAAAGTCTGCTTCTGTTTCAGACATGAAGGAAATCTCTCATTTTTTAAAAGCCTGTCTGGTTTTTCAGCAATATTTGCATAATAAAAGACAAAAATACTGTTTTTATAAATGGTGTCTCTCATAGTCTCATACGAATCTTGGTTTAATTAGAACTAGAATTATTATTAGCATTCAACTTCAAAAGTACTATCAACATACTCATTTTATGCCTTTGTCAATACAGACCTGCTGATGCTCCTGTAACACAGACCGTAGCACGATTTTAAAGTTAAAATTGTATCGGCAGTGCAAAGCCATAGATAAATGTAGTTTTAAAACATTTAAAACAGAAAAATTCTGTTAAAGGGACTAATTTTGTTACTCATCTAGTAACCATGTCTTTAATTCTGAAGATGTTTGGTTTTTTTAATCTCGATCATAAAGAATCCATTCATGTAATAGTGTGCTTTTAATGGTACATTATCTTAACAAATTTCCATGATCTTTTAATAAACACTTATACGTTCTTAAACTCTTTAGAAAACCGAAGGTAATCAGTAGTTTAGAAACAGTTTATAGCAATTCTAAATATTTTTGTCTTTTTTTCAAAGTTGGCCTTGATATACAGCAAGCATATACAGCCTTTTACTTAACACCGAAAACAGTGGGAAGTAAAGCGGTTACAAATCAAAAACTGAAAGCTGAGTCTTCACTTGATATGTATTACGGCTCACCACGAAGTCTGCCAGCAGCAAAAGTAGATACAGGTAAACGGTCAGATCGCATCATCTAGCTAATACCAAAGTCAACAGAAAATTGAATTTTGCTTTCAGTGGAGAGCTAGATCTTTATTTATCCATACTGTTCCTTTCTCAAGTATAATAAAAATACGTTGCTGCTGCTTCCACTTGTCAAGTATTACAGTGCAATTCTTTGATGAATTTTGAAAATAAGAAAAATCCTGGGTGTTTGGTATCTAATATTACTGCTTGAATTTGGGAATGTAGTACTGCCTCTCTTTCAGTAGCATTGATTAATTTCTTTTCAATTACATTGTTGGGGCAGCCCAAAGTTTTGTTGAAGGCAACAAAATTCTAGTGACCCAGATTACTTCTAGCTCGTCTTTTACTGCATGAAGTACTCTCTCAACAATACATATGAAATAAAAAATGAGCATTTCTGTATTATATTTTTCTAGGAGGCAGATCTAAACAAGAGATTACCTACAAGAAATATGGAAACAGAGAATGCAACCATCGCTGTAAAAATAAAGATGTGTGTGGACATGACTGCTGTGAGTTTCATTGAATCTACTATTTCTGTTGCTTTTGGACAAATACAATTTAGAATAGCTTACTTTATACCAATAGCTACGTTAACAGAAGCAAGGTAAGCAAGAGTCAGGCATGAGTTGTTGCTATGATGCAGTCATAAAAGCAGTAATATGTCAATAACACTTTTATAGGCACTACAATGATTAATAATATTTTTCAGAACATCTAGCGTATGATTTAAGAGCAATGTCAAGCTTGTTACACTTTTATATAAATATTGGTGTCTTAAATCTTTTAATTAGTGTGGTAAATCTTTTAGGATCTTTTAATAAAAGATACTAAACTCAGTAGCAAAGTTTCCATTGATCTGGAAAGAATTATGATTTATCCCTTCTAAACTAACCTGAAGATTACTTTAATTCCTTTTCTCAGGTAAAACTGGAGTACCTCCAAATTCTGAGATGAACGGAGATTCAAAGTTTTCTTTGTACCTAGCTGATTTAAGGAGCAGGAACTCAATTTCATCTGTACCCCCAGTAAAACGGTTAAAGGTTCATCTGAATACAGTCAGCCATTGAATAGATTTATTTTAATCTGTTATGTATTTGTATATATTTGTTTGCAGAGAGAATTTTATAACTAAATATGAACGTTCAAGTTTGTCTTTTCTGTGTGGAATGCAAAAATCAAAGTACAAAGGTACCAAAGGTCTGGGAATCTTTGAGAGGTTCTGCTGCTGTTTGGAACGCTTCCAATGATCCACTTCTGTGCATGTACTCTTTGTTTTTACTTTTATGGCATTTGATAGATTGTGGTGGGTGAGGTACAGAGGCATCACTGGAAGGTACTGTACTGTGACTTGGTTTTGGCAAAATATGACCTGAATGAAAACAAATAGTGGTATTTAGCAGAGTAATGCTACTAAGAGATCTTTTTGCATTGCCAGGCAGATCCACTTGTTTGTAAGAAAACCAACCATGTTAGTTTTTAACCTCTGAAAGATTTCATGGCTTACACTTTATCCCTTTGAATGTAGTACTAAACTAGTTCTGTCTGCAGCAAGAATGGCATTTGAGATATTGGAGTGTTTATTTCCTCCTCACAGTTTTGTTCGCTTGTTTGTTTGCAATAGAGAATGTATTAGCCTATAGCTAATACAGATAAGAGTTAGTGATAACCAGTTTGACTTTGTCGGGGTACTTGGATAACTAGAAGCATGTAATTCAAACCTTTTTAACTGATTGTGTTAGATAAGCAGACGTCAGAAAGATTTTATATATGGTCTTTATTGTGCTAACTTGATACAGTATTAATGATGTCATTAAGATTGTTAAAAAACAGTTTTCAATATGTTTATATATTATCTGTTACAATAATCTTTCTTTAGATGCAGATGTTAAATCAAGCTCAGAATGTGGATCTCAAACAATCTGTTTTTACACCTGAATCTTTGTTGCCGGCATTGCCAAGGTACTGATTAATATAAGTAGTAGAAATCTGTCTTATTTTACATAGTATGTTAAGTTGTGACAACTAAAACCTGTTTTCTGAATAAAATTATTTTGCAACTTTATGCAACTGTTTTACTGACATGTCACTGATTTCTTTTTTTTTTTTTTTTTTTTT